CATATATATATATATAATACATACACAGCTAGATCTGCTCCAAAAATTTATGTAAATAAAAATTTCATATTTATAACCATCACACTAATTAAATGCATGCGAGTAGTGGTAAGCGATTAATTAAGATAGTAAAAAGGGAGCCACCTCAAACTTTTGTACTAAAACGCCGTGGAAAATTGCCTCTGGAGTAACAACCGGCACTGGAGGTACTTTTTGAAGGAATTTCTTATATTTATTTCTGTTATCTGGACTTGAAACCACGATAAATTTCTTATCAGTTTTAGCTGGAGCTCTACTAATACATTTACCTCCGCAAGCCTCAATGGCAGCTAAAAAGAATTAAAATTAAAAACTGAATTCCTTGTACAAAATTAATTTTGACCAAATTTGAATAGAAATTTTTTGTTTAGTTTCTTTGTAACACCTACATTTTAAAACATCCGTAGCTGTAGTTACACAAAGCTGAAAAACGTATTCTTCCAATAATTTTTTCTTATTACTTCTATTAAGTGATTCCATTAATGAGAAATTCCATTTTTGTTGTGCTTCATCATCAGTTAATATATAATCCCATGGATCTGAAACCAAGATAATACAATAATTGTCAATTCAATACGTTATGTGTAAATTTTTCTTTAATATTACCTAAAAAATTCCTTGCGACTTTAGAATCTTCCAGCCATTTTACTGAACAAACTGGTTTACCCAAACCAACAGCGGTTAATAACTTTTGGGTTCTTTTGATACTTGTCGTGACCAAAACGGTTGCAGCCTCAACGGTGTCTACCACAATTCCCCCTTTAAATTTATTTACAATTATCCAAAATTGAATTCCGATTACGTACAATTTATTTATTATATACAAATGAATTTTTCTAAATCAGAATTAAGACGCTTACCGCACTGTCTTACAATTAAAGATAGTTGAGGACTATCCAACATTGTAAAGACCACTTTTGTTCTTTGATTTCTCCTCTAAAAAAAAAAAGAAATCGGTTTGAAAAACATTTAGTAACTGGTTTCAGTAAAATTACCTCCGGTGTTATATCCATTAATCGCGACTCGACGTTCGATTTCTCAAATTTAGATTGATTAGATGTTGAAAATAACATGGAATCATTAGCAGGGCTAACTTTAACAGTCTTTTTACGCTTTTGAGGAGTTACTGGTGGCGATAATGTTTCAGGAGCTCTTTTTGAAGTACTTGCTTCCGACTTTTCAGTTCTCCTTGAACTACTACTTTTTGGCATATTTAAAAAATCTTCATCAGCGATTTCTGAAACGGGAATCGAAGTATTGGGTTTAAAACTGTCTAAGTGCATCGACTTTTTCTTCCTTGCAATCGTATACTCGGAAGTCGTCCTTCTAGTCACTCTTTTCTCAATAAGTTCATCTTTAATATCTGCTTGATTATCACTATCGTCATCCTTTACAAGTGCAGTTTTTCTCGTTCTTTTACCCGATGTAAGAGCATCACATACTGTCAAAGAATGAGGCTTTAGTATTGTTCTTTTATTTTCTAGCGATACTTCGACACAACTGGGACCTTTAGTTTTAGAAGATAATTTTGCCACCGGTACTGACACACTACGATTTGAACTTGCTCGTCTCCTTAATCGTTGGGAAGGAGAAATGCTGGCCACAGTTGCAGAATAAACGTTTAATTCCGGCTGTCTGGTTTGTAAGTTCCCCACGCCCCTATCCACGAAATTTCTGATTTCGGAGGCAGTTGCGGCATCAGTTCTATCGTCTATTGTTTGAAGTGATGCCGTTTTCCTATCGATAACTGATTTCTGTCTTAATTTTTCTACACTTGACAAATTTTCTTTTTCGTCAGTGTTCACGTCAGATCTTTTCGAATAACTACTAGTTTGTTTTATTTCCTCAGAGTTTTGCTCTTCATTGGTCTGACTTTGTTCTTCATCTAAGACATTTGCAAGAGGATTAGACGGTCTATCATTGTCCGCTGATATGTTCTGTGAAGAAAACATTACTTCTAACTGACTTTCTACAGACGGAAGACTTGCTTTAGAATTCTCAGCACATCTTTTAGGTATATCTGAAGACACATCATTTTCAGATTTCGAGGGAACAGAAAGCTTTTGAGATGACTGCAGACATACATCATTACCATAATTATCATTTTCTGAACATTCTAAATAACCTAATTTGCTTTTTCTAGGAGCTAAAAATTTTTGAGTTGGCTGTAAGTCATTTTCATTTTGTGAAAATTCATTGGCATCACTACTTTCAATTATAGCAGGTAATGGTAGTGAAAACTTCTGTGTTGGTTGCAGATAAATATCATCGTCTTCTTCATCCTGTGATGATTCTTTATTTTGTAATTTCTGAGTTGGTTGCAAGAATATAGCATCGTCTTCATTTTGCGATTCTTTTCTATTAAAAAGCTTATCATTCATAGGAATGCAAGAAGTAGCAAATTTTTGAGTGGGTTGCAAATAAACGTCATCGTCTTCATTTTGTGTTAATTCATTCTTGTACGGTTGATTCTTATATGGAATTTTGAATTTTTGAGTTGGTTCTAAATAAATGTCGTCTTCATCATCTTGCGAAGGTATCTTACTTCCAAAGGTATTGATTGTTACAGATGTAGACGCGGCGAATTTCTGAGTTGGTTGCAGAAAAATATCGTCCTCGTTGTCGCATAAATCTATCACTTTAGCTTGTGTCTTCGCATCCTTGACGCTCTGTGACTGCTTCTGAGACTGAAACTTGTGCTCATCATTCAATGCAGCTTCGGCGTTTTTAAGATCCCTTATGGATGCCAAAAATATATTGTCCATGTTTTTTAACTTTTGTATTTCTTTAGCAATATTGAAGTTCTGAAGAGAAGAAACGCTGCTTTCTTCATTTTCATGTATTTTAGATTTCTCATTCAAACAGTTTGTCCTCACTTTAACATTTTCCGTCTCACACGGTTCATTAGTAGTTTGGTTTTGTGAATTGCTTTTCTTAGTTGTTTTGCTGTTATTTATTTCTTGACTTTTCTGTGCTAGAAGATCGTCGTCCGTTTCACTACCAGAATCATCGTTTCTATTCATTTTCTTGCTTCTTTTGTTACTATCCTCAACTGTTGCGTTTTTAGTGCTCTTTGGCAAAACAGACCTTTGAGTAGGTTGCATAAAAATATCTATATCTTCTTCTAGCATTTCGGTATCAGAAGGATTTTCTACATTTGTCTTCATTTGTTTTGAACTATCAGTCTGGGAGCCACTTACATTTTGAGTGGGATTTCCAAATACATAATCTGATTCACTGTCAGTGTTAAGTGCATCCATTGTATTACTCAGAGCTAGTTTGAAACTATTTTCCATGCATTGTGAATTAATCGTATTCTGTGATTGATTCATAGTTGTTTTAATATTTGAATTTTCTTTATTATGAGCTACTTTATGTCTATTTCCAGGTTCTTTTTCAATATCGGTGTCTGAATTTGATTCTAACTTTCTGGAAACCGCTCTGCTTTTAATTTTTTTTGAAAGAATTTTATTTGGAGATAGACGTTCGATATCTGTATCTGAGCTTGAATTTTCCGATGATATTCTTCTTTTGACGAGTTTTTTTCTAGGACCTACTTTATTTGGCAAAACAACTCCAGTGCCAGAATCACCACCACTTTCGTCAGAACTGAGAGGGTTTCTCTTTTTTGTTTTCAATTGTGGAACAGGTGATGCAGGATTTGAGAGGATATCTAAGCTGCTTGGTGTGTCGGAGTCAGATGAAATACGCTTACGTACCTTTCTTTTTATTTGGCTTACATGAATCTGAGACTGTGAAGAGTTACCCTGGGAAACATTTGGGGTTTGACTACCCTTCTCTAAGTGTTCAGTTTTTGATTCAACTTTATGTTGTAAATTATTTGCATCAGTAGGAATATTCCTATTTGATTCAATTTCATCTATGGTTGTTGAATTAGATTTATTAAGCTTCTTTTTATAGTCAGAATCGTAAGAAGCTGTTTGGCTACTTGTATTTTTAATTTTGGAAGGAACATGGTCATTAACTTGTTTATTCTGTGTGTAATTATTGCTTTTATTTAAATCTGATGTATTATGAAAAGAGATGGTGGGCAAAACACTATCATCAATACATTCATCAGAAATTACATTCACCATGTCTTCCTCCAAGTTTGTTTGATTTGTAAGTGTAGTATTTACTTGTATTTGAACATCTTGAACTGAAACTTCCATTGCAACATCAGGACACAGTATCTGCGTTGGTAATTCATGTATCTCATTTGAAAGTTGAGTCTTTGTAATGTTTGTCTTTTCTGTTGTATTCATTGTACGTATAATTAAATCATCAATTGGCTGAGTAGCAAGATCATGAATAGATACTTCTTCAATTACATCTAATTTCTGAGTAGCTGTCATGAATAAATTTTCTGTATTTTGAGTAGCTTGTGAAAACTGTTCTCTTCGAAATGTAGATGAACCAATCCTTCCAGGACACTAATAGATACAGTAATTATATAGTAGGATAACAAATTTAAAAGTTGTCATTGATTAAAACTTTCAAAATAATATAATACTGTATATGTGTGGTTCATAACTGTAATTTGAATGAAACTTACTTCTATAAAAATTGCTGAAATTCTGGCAAATTTCATTTTGCACATGTTTGGTATCTCATATAACAACAAAGGTGTCAATTTTTCTTCATTTAAGAAGGTACCATTTGCAGAATTCAAATCACTAAGAAAGTATTTACCTTTTTCTACAACTATTATCATAGAATGCTGATGACTGATAGTCTAAAAATATTTTTTTATTAATGAAGAGTTTCAAAAAGAAAATGTGTAATCTTCTCACAGGACTCTTCATGATAACTGTGGCTAATTTATTTCTTCCAATTATATTTAATCCTTTAAAAACCGGATAATTGTGTCCACTTACTCTCAGGTAACCAACCTAAAACATAACCAATTTTATTAAACTTTTATGTAATTATAACTTATAAAAACCACATACCCTTTCACGTCCTTCGGTCATTTTTAATGAATTTTTTAACAATTCACTAACGTTAAAATTTTGAGTCACAGTTTTCAAATTTTAAATTATTCAAGTTTTTGTCAAAATATTTTCATTTTATGACATAATTGGATATAACTATAGTATCCATATAACATCAATACGTGACGTCAGTTGTGGCGCGAAAACGAGCGCAATATTTAAATCTGGCTACTCTTAAGATAGAAAATGCATGATTCTGAATTTTGAATTGTATTTTTATACAATACTCCATATACACCATTACAATTGTTTTGGAATGTTTGGCTTATTCAGGTTTAATTGCAATTTTAAATAAACCTTATTACTTAAATATCAAAAGGTCAACTTTTTTATTCAAATGCAACCCTTGATTAAAAATTGTTATTAATGAGATGATTAGAAATCATGTACAGTAGACACTTGATTGTGTGGAAACATAAATTTATTAAATGAGAAACCATTACATATTGTTTAGTTGAACTATTTTTAAAAGACAGTTGACTTTAAATATTAAAAATTAATATTACTTGTACATTCTAAACACGTGGATTTCTGTATATTTTGAGACTGAGCCCTAAGTTCCTTAAGTTTCCTGTCTATTTCTTCCATATTAGCTGGGTCATCAGCATCATCTTGAATTGCCTGCAAAAATAATTCCAACCACTGTCTCTTTTGATTTGTTTCTGGATCATTTTCTTCTTCTGATATTCCTGTATTGCTCGTTCTTGATTGATATTGGGATAAAATGTTTTCTTTCTTAGGTAGTTCAAGATCCTCGTTGTTTTCTTTTTCACTACTAATTCTTAAAGCCATAATTTCCTGTTCTGCATCCTTAAAAGGCAAGTCTAAAGATTCAAATAGAGGAAAATTTTCGCTCTGTTCAATTTTTTCTTTAACTGTATCAGGTGAAAAAACTGATGCTGAGGAATTGTCTTCTAGCAATTCTTCATTATTTAAAATCGAATTTGACAATGGAGAGTTATCAGATTCCACAATATTTTGAATCATTGGAGTCATGTAACTCATTTTATTTTTGTCCCTCTTGTAATCTGCCACATGATACAGATCATTTTCAAGACTTTTATCATCTTGACTAATTTTTCCAGTGGTAAGCTTCTTATGCATAAATAAGGAATACGGGGGTGCAATAGGGGGTTGAACAGGTTCTCTGTATTGATATTTTTCTTCCCCTTCAAGCTAAAAGTACATTACAAAAATAACCAAATATTTTCAGAAAAAATAAAGAGATTAATACAAACTTATTATCTCACCAACCTGTAATGGATATGTTGTGTCTGAATCAAAAGCACTGACATCACCACAGACAACAAAAGGAATGATAATGCGGTTGACACCACTTAGTTTAGAGAAATTCTTATTGGAAACATCAAGAAAGGGTGTGATGCATGTGGGATCAAACCCTTCAGGTGGGTTGTAGTTTTGACACACAACAAATGCCTCTAAAAGAATACAATTTAATTTTAAAGTATCATTTAAATATTATTGATGGCACCTATGCTTGAATTCCTAGAACTTGTGGGCTTAGCTACATGAACACTTTCAAAAAGCATTAACAACTGATTTGTAAGAATATCATTATCTTTTGCTCTAAAAATTTTAGCCACAAAGTTTCCCCTCTTTTGTAAAACATTACAAGCTATATGTAAGGCCCCCAGTAACAGTTGAGACTGAATGTAAACATCCATACAATGCAGTCCAGTAACTACAACCATTAATAGGTATATGAAATTAATTTGGCATAACATACTTTAAGAAATTACCATCTGGTGCTCCATCGCATACAACTAACTCTGCTTTCAATCCTTCAAAGTGTTTGATAATTTCTTGAGCAGTGGAGTACTTAGTTATATCTCCCTGTATTTGAATTACACCTGGTAAAGGAGCCATTGGTTGTAAATCAACTGCTACTATTTTAACTTCTTCGTTAAACTTTTTTTCATTACTATTACCAGCAACAGGTATTGCTGCTTCCGGGTTACTACTTGCTAAGTCGTCTTTGTTACATGAGCTACTCAAAGGATTGTGTAGTCTCAATGTTTCAATTCTTTCACCAAGGTATAATTTACGAGACAATACCTGACTCCAACTGCCTGGAGCAGCACATAAATCCACTACTCGCTTAACTCCTAATAAAAAAAAGTACCGTTTTATATTTACATATTGACTATTAAATTACTATTATTTAATACCATCTAAAATGTGGAATTTTTCATCTATCTGTAGCAGCTTGAACGCACTTCGAGCCCTCCATCCTTCTTCTTTAGCTTTGCGATAAAAAATGTCCCTTTTATCTTTAGAAACTTTACCCATGATTAATTAATTAACCTTCAGCGTATTATTCGAATAACTTTACTGTTTTATTATGTATATTTTACATTTTTCGAGAACTTATTGACGTTTTAGGTTAAAATATTTCTAGGTTATGTAAAGAAGGTTATTCTTGTTCTACTATTTTGTACCAAAGATACATGCAAGAGAATGATTCAGTCTATGGCATACGATATCGATAAATATCGTTTCTTTTAAATTTCCTAAAACAATAAATTGAAGTATCACCGTGTTATAGGGTTTATATTGCACAATCAATTAGAAGTATATCATACGTGTTGCTTTCATTACAAGTTCATCATCATCATCATCAACTTTATGATGATGATGACCTTATCAAAGTACCTAAAACAGAGTAAATACTGATCCTTTATATTACATCATGTGATACAAATGATAATCGTGTTAGTATATTTGAAATTTAACATCATACTTTTCATATTACTTACTCACTTGAAGTTTCTAATTACAAGAAAATAAGTTTCTGCTTAATTTCATGATGTGTGAACAAGAAGAATCAATTTAAATAGAAATACAGAATTGAAGTCTTCATTAGTAATATTAACATTAGACATTAACAATGAGTGCTTTTCTAATATATTTTCAAATTAATAATTCAACAACATTGCAGTTATTTAATTTTTTATGACTATTATATATATGTAACTAATCGATGTAATTTAAAATTTCATTTACATTAAAACAAACTTCATAATAGGGAGAGACACGAGCATAGCAAACTTTACTTTTCGACGCTCAGAGATAGATTAAATTTGCGTCTCTATTTCATTAATTAAGATTAAGCCATAAAAAAGGATAGTTGAAGTTCTGAATAATAGTGATTAAACAATTAATGTATAAATATAATAATAAAAATACTGCAAAATTATAGTTTCACAATTGATTTTCTATTATCTGGTATTAATTAATTCTGCTTTGTAATGTTTTCGGTAAGTTTGTCTTTCAATATGAAAACAATTTTAACATACAAAGAACCCTTTCGTATGTTGAAAGTTGAATCAGCATTAAAATGTTTCCAGAGTTTCTGAAATAAAAAAAAATTAGAGTTTACTACATTTATTAATTTCAGCGAAACTAACATAATTCTGTGAAAACAATACAAAAGCATTAAAATAAATAAAAATTCGTTTTTCACGATCGCGATTACGAAGGGATCGGTTATGAATAAGTTTTTTACATAGGTATGGAATAGTTAAAAGAAAAACGATTTCATAGAATTCAAATAGAGAATAAAAAACTTTTCCAAACAAATTCTACACTGTAGGTATCATGTCGATAAATCGTAACAGTGTCCAACACAATTTGCACTTGTTCAAACAGCGTTCGTCGTCGCATTTGAGTAATTTACATATGGCATAAATCTTCAGCCGGCAACAATAAAACGCAACCGGGACATCACTTTTACTTCTCTAAAAATTCGGATAAAAAAGTGGGAAATGTCGATATGCATCCGACTCTCGCAAAAACGCGAATTTCATAGGACTGTCGTTCGTTTCAAACGTAACAGTTCATCCCCTTTAATAGCGAGTGGAAACGCGATGGGAAATGCTGGAAAAGCGGATGCAAGAGAAGGACCTAAGCGAACCAGATAGGAATTGAAATTTCCCGAGGAGACAAGGACAAACCCGATAGGAGAGTAAAGGATGGAAATGGGAGTGGGAAAAGTGTTCCCTTACATAGTTGATATAAGTTAAAAGAAAGCAGACTTATACGACACTATATGAGAGGGGGAGAGAAATGTTGAGAAAGACGCACGGAAAAACCGTGCGATAGTAACTCCCTTGGGAATGAGATAGGGACAGAAAATGGGCATTACGCCATGGCGTGTATGAGACAGATAGATAAGTAGGTATGTACATAAAAAAGATAAAAATGTATTTTATGGACGAAACGAGGTCTGAAATTTAGAGAGATAGGATTTGCAGTTTAGAATTTGTGCAAAGTAGATAATATATGTACTTATGTACAAACGTAGGTAACGGACTCACCTACTTACCTATCTGTGGTTATTTGCTTTTTAATTTTGTTTTTCTCGACGACCTTTTGCAAGTTTAGTCCATCACGTAATTGAATACGAAGTACGCGGAATTTAGAAAAACAAAAGTACATTCTAGCCACGAGAACCTAAATTTGAAAATATTAGTAAGCGACTTTTACCCAAAAAATTAATCAGTAAATGTGTTTTAATATGATCGAATATACTGAGCCCGAACCAAAAAGTTTTTCATTTGGGTACTTACATGATTTATGTCAAACTGTTATATTTAAGATGCAAATACAAAATGCAAGGTGCCTATTTTTAATTATTTTCGGTTAGTTTTTAAGTCTATTTTTTGTTACTAGCAGGCCACAGCTGAGTTATCTCAAAATATTAAATAAATGCAAAACTTCTTAGATAATGCAGTTTGACTCCACACCGGTGGAAACAACAGCACCATCAAATGAGATTTTTTTGTGTTACAACGAATCAACTTTTTTATATAATTTTTGTCACTACATACAAATTCACAATAAAAAATAATATCCAAAATATCAGTACCTTGTTGTCGTACTACAAAATAAATTCATTAGCGAAAACACATGAACAGAAACCAAATTATACTGTAGCCCCTGGATGAACATTGCAGTAAATAATATTAATAAGTAATAACAAAAATCAGGCTTTTTACTGGAAATACTATTTACAAAATACCTATTTAATATTTTATATTTAAAATGGTCTTTATAGAATATTTTTTACAATAACAATGTGTATTCGTGGTATATATTTAGTATGTTGCATTTTTTAATCTAATTATGTACCCTCAAAAATGTTTTAATATGTGTTAAAGTTGAAAAATAGTTTTCAATTTTAGGGATGATTATTGGAATAACTAAGTGCTCTCCTCTAGAAAATAAGGAGCGGCTCCGTGACATTTGACCTTCTGCATCAGTTACTACTAAATTTTATTTTCATGAAATACTTACACAGTTAGGGTTAAAGGAGATTTTAGACTAATGCGATAAGAAGGGGGGGAGAGATGTACCCACACGAAAAATTCTGGGTATTTTACCCACCCGGAATTTTACCTCATTTTATAATTACGTACATGAGAGATGAGTATTACTGAATTTATATTTTTGAATTTACTACGAGAAACTCGAATGCTTCGTGGATGCATGTTTCTCCAAATTTACATACCTACCCTGGAAATAACCATTTTAAAGATAATTTTAATATACGACCTATTGAAAAAGGCATCGCATTGATGTTTTACGGTTGTATTCAAACGGCAATTTAGGTAGGTACGGCGAAATGTGTCTACAGTTGGGTACCATCTTAAACATTAAATGTGGTATAGTGCGAAAGTCAAGCCCTAAGAAAGGTCATTCGATCTAATTACCCTGATCTCTATGTGATTGAATCATATAAAAAGGATGAAGCGCTTGCTGACGTTTTAAATGCTTTTCGTAAGGATATGGACAAAAGCATTTAAATTGTTGCTAATCTTCAACTAAACAAAGCCCCAAATTCCGCGTCATTGAAAAGTGCAAAAGCATGGGGTGCGAGGAGCAGCTGATACATACGAATTCACAACCCCTAAAGATTTTTTTAGAAAATCGTTCTTTTTTAACAACTTATTTCGTCTCAAAAAAGTAGATTCAAAAATGATTCATCACGTTTTTTTAAATCAACGATTTCATACTTCTTTTCTCCACTCCTCCAGTTTGCGTAAAGTTACCCACTAGTGATGTTCTAGTCAGCCGAACTCATAGTCGGCACATCTCTATTAACAACCCATCCGGCCCGAATATGATCTGCCGGGGCCTGACCTTTACCCCTCGTAACTCTTGCTTTTGCTTTTAATATGTATCTTGAACTAGCCCTTCATGTATCGTACCAACCTATCTCGCCTATTTCTTATTGACTTCCATAGGGCCCTTTGTTCTACTCCATCTAATACCTCCTCATTTCTAATCGTTTTCATATACGCGGTATTTTTAACGTTCCTCTGAAACACGACATAACATAACGGAAGTTTCAAAAAAACTGTTTCTACTTTTTCACTGCAATTAACATTCAATTTGTTTATAAGTCTAAACGTTTAGCTTTAATTTTTTGGAAACACCTAGGTGATATTGGATGTGATTTGTTTGAGTTGGCTGCGACATAGACACTCCATATTTTGAACTCATACAAACAGCATTTCACTTTTATCATGTTTTTAAGTGAGACTTTTTTTGAGGTAAATATTGTAAATGTGATATTTACCTCGTCATGAAAATCGCCATTTATATATGCGTATATACATGTTTATTTTTATACCCCTTTATCATTATGTAAACTATTTGCGTCCACGAGCTAGCACTCTTACTACATCCCTTATTATAATCAACACCTGTGCAAAGGTAGATACTGAACTAGTTCGAGTTTGCTTTAAAACGTCACACCTGCTTCCTGTTACACAGGCTGTTTTTTTTTTTCAGAATTATATTAACGTGCTACAAAAGAGTAATTCATACAAAAGTAAATTGATTAATTTTATCGTTGTGTAGTTTTAGTGAGATCGATGCCTCATAATCTAATTTGCTTTATTCCAAGAGTTCAGTATACTTATAAAATTTTCAAAAATTGATTAATATATCAGAATTTGAAATGTACATTAAGTAAAATGCTTCCTACATACAGGGTCCAAAAAGAACCCCAACGGTGTCGGTTGCTTTTTTCTTTTTGTTTCTAACGAAGTAAGATAAAAACTTGAAATTTACACATATTGTTCCTTAATTCCATGAACAAAGCTCCTATTTAGCTTTCTGACTCGCCAACTTTATTTTATTACGACCTTTTAAATTGCCGATTAACTAATTCTTGAAAAGTATCTTACACAACCCCTAGGTACACAATAAAATCGTAGTTTCGACTTATATAAAATTTGGTGAATTCTTAGCGAATTAACAGAGAACCAGTTAGAAGAATAAATACTAGATATTGATGCTGATTTGGTTAGCCAAACTCTTTAGGAAAATGTTAATTGTAATAGAAACTCTCGTCAAAACTACTGGCGAGTGCTTGCCCGATTCCAACTGAGAATTGAGTAAATTTCATCTCGTGTACCGCAC